CATGAAATTTATATATATTGAACGCGCTTGGTACAAAACGTTTCGACGAAACCGCGAAAGCATCGATAATAATGCGGGTTGATGTGGTCCATTTAGGTATTAACCTCGAGCATAATATTTATCCGACCGCTCTAAGTAATAAATCCTCTTTGTGATTAATGTATCGAGGATTATTTCAGAAAAAGAGCGCGCTCTGCCTCATGCACGACGCGCTTCGACGTTTTTGTAAGCTCGGATTTACATTTTTCATTAATATACGTTCAATCATTAATTATGTATAGCTACATAAAATTAATTTTTCAACAAAACTCGTACTCATAAAAATTGCGTTATGAAATATCGCGTGATTAAATTGTAAAATGTTTCAATGGTTACACGAATAGAGCACGTAAAATAGAGAGAGAGAGAGAGAGAGGAGAGAGAGAGAGAGAGAGTACCCTTTTAATTAATATATTTTATTACTTATTTTATATTTGCTCTGAAGTTGTTATCTACGATAGAATCTAAAGAATTATCAATATCCAATGGATATCCGGAAAATGTACAACGTCACGTGTTTATTGACACTATCTAACACACGATTGCTCGCACATTTATCATAATAAACATGATGCAATCGCATGATAAATTCGCCTACTAATGTATCGACCCATCTCGTCTGCCGTCTCTTCCCGCAATCATTATAATTATTTTAACCTTTATATTCAATTTGGATAGCTTTCTGAGAATATTGATAAATGCGAGTCTTCATCATGCCGTCCTTATTATTGCGGTAGTTACAGTCGGCAGGAAGGACGAAATTGACATCGCGGACTCGCTCGCAGACGTCTCGTCGCCGGAAAGTGGCAGTTTGCAATTAAACGACGATGTTATCGTAAAGGGCGGCGGGCTCGGTTAAGCGTGTACATGGCAGCGAATTAAAATGTAAATACTTGATTAAAGTTAATCCCGGGCAGGTGAATAAACCTGGTACACAAAGACAGAGAAAGAAATACGGCGCGGTTTCGCGGAGCGGTGAAAAAGAGGCGGGGGAGGAGGGGACGGGCTGGGGGGTGGGCTGGGGGGAGAGAGGGAAACGAGATATCCATAGTGGTCCTAAGGGGTGCTTTTTATTGCCGCTTTTTATTAGCTGAGTAGGTGTACTCCGTTCCACCGTTGCCCCTCAACTCCACCTCGAAGCACTCCGAGCCACCCTCGGCTACCAACCATCTCCTCTCCCTCCCCCTCGTCCTCGCCGCGACTCTCCCTCCCCCATTCCGCCCCTCCGCCGTCACTTCTCGCGACCCACCGCCTGCGGAGCCGGGCTGGCGTGTGGAGCGCGTCGGAGGGTTGATTAAAACTAACGTTGCGCCAAGAATTACCCTGTGAGATTGAAAATTAAATTAATATACAAAACCCCCGCCCACACCCGGGGCTAATTAGTTATATGATAGTAATTAAAAGTTAAGTATATCTTCGTGCACGGACGTACTGGCGTACCCGCCGCTTCCGGCTGTCATCCCCAAAACGGCCGTAAGCAATCCTTTAGCCTCTAGTGGATATTATACTTAAAAAAAAAAAAAAGAGGGAAAAAAACACAATGTGCCATTCCAGCTTCCTAAATATTTTTGCAAGCCGCACTTTCGCGTTACGTCTGATTATTAAATTAATTTTCAATATTTTCAATCTATCAAGTTGAACTTTTTTAAATTAAACATTCCAGTAGCAGCGGAAATGTACGAAATACATAAAGGCGCTTCCTCTATTAATTTTAATATTCAATTCATAAAAATGCATGAGCTTTATTAATTTGGCGCAGCTGCTGTTTTCGTGGTAAGTGAAAATTGGTATATAGCGATATATTTGCTATCGTTGAGGGATACGAGAAAAAGAAATGGTCGCGCAGCTGGCGTGGCATTAATTCTCATTTGTTGCGCGCTATCTTTAGACGCGGAGCGCGATCGGTATCATCGGAGAGATACTAAGCAACAAAAGACAAATTACCTGGCCGCGATCTCTCGCGACGCAACCTTGATGCGATAGCACGTGTTAAACGCGCGCCGCACAGTTCCCTGCCAAACTGAAAATAGTCGGCGAACTAATATCGCGACGTTGGAAATATTTTATACCCACGTTATACGGCGCACTTATATTCGAGCAACTTTCCTTACGAGTTATAACGCGCGCGCCCGCGTTCGCGTCTTATATCCGCCTTCAAAAATAATTTCGCTAACCGTGATTTCCTCTTACGAGCGCGATGCTATAGCATCGCGATAACGCGAAAAAAGCCCCACGTGGTCACCGATGCGCCAATAATTACCAAAGTTAGTATTTCCCCGACTAGAGCGTCGTCCGATTTACTCGACAATTTTAGCAGTTTGTGCCAACCGACTTGCAGAAATTTACCGATATCATTCAAATCCATTCGCAGAATTACAAAATTGCAGAGAATTATGTAAACTAATACACATATTCCCCTCGTCTCTAATTACGTCGGCCGCGACATTTTAATTAGTTCGAGCAGCCATTCGCGCGTACGAGTATCTGTCAAGAGATAGCATCATGCGAGATGTACAGTACGGTTCGAAAGTTGATTGTTATGGAGGAATAATCGTCTACGTATCGCGCGTTTACGATTTCTATGAATATAATAATGTAATCATCGTCGGACATCTTTGTCTTGTCGGACGAAGCCTGCGATTTTAAAAGGACTTTGCGAAATGGAACGAGAAAAAGTTTTCAAGGTAAAATTGAGAAATCGCATTCGTCGATTAACACATACATTTTGTTGCGTCAATTTGCAGTTAATCTCTCATTGATAGAAAGCGCGTGTCAAAGAAACGGTACTTTGCCAATCTCTTATCCATTTAACGCGACATAGAAGCGTCGCGCGCGACTAGATCCGGATCAAGATATCTCCTACGAGAGATCGCAAAAAAAAAAGCGTAAAAGCGGCAACGTATAACTTTAGACCTGGAAATTGTTGAACCGAAGCTAAGAGCCATGTACAGCCGATTCTCTTTCTTCTTTTCTAGATCGATCCAACTGTCAACATTTCATCTCCTCGTGTCGGAAATTGAAATTCGGCAAACATTTTTTTCACGATTAGAATTATCCGGCCAATTTGCATCGCCGATAATTAACGGCGCGGTTTATGCATTCTCCGGGAGCGCATAAAGCGGAAGAGAGGGAGCGGTGTCCGCGCGCAAAGAATATTCGAGTCTAGTCGAAAGTTGAAAACCGCTTGGCCGCGGGCCAGGGCTCACGTAACTACTTGTTTTGCCAAAGCGACCCGACGCCCGCCGCTCCTCGCCTTCCGCCACGACGGCGGCGTACCCAGTCGATTTTCGAAAAAGATTAACACCTAGTCGTCCGGATCCGACCGCGACGACCACGTGGCAGCGGACGCGCCTGCGTGTCCCGATCTCGCTCTCTCTTTCTCTTTCGCCTTACTCGGAAATTTCTTCTCAGTCTTCTCGTAGCTATCGGTCGGCGCGACGTTTCCGTCGCGGAAAACAATTTCTGTTTTCACGGGATAATCAGAGATTACAATCGTATAAAAGGGAGAGACGAGTCAGGTTTGGCTGCGAGAAATCAAACAGTGAATCGAAGAATCCGAGGATGTAAAGTACGCTTTCGCGAACCTACGGATTCGAGAAGGTACATCCAAAGATAGAAATAGAAATCCAAGTCCTCCGAGGACACCGGTGTAGCGAATCGAGATATGTAAAATATTCAAGAGTAATAATGTAAGAGCGTAATGAAAGACGTTTCGAAAAAATGCGACGAGTTTAAGATTAGAGAGTTTAGGAAACTATACCAGCTCGCAGCTGCCACGAATTACAGCCGCGACAAACGCGTGCCACGAGCTGTGTCGGACATTAAGAGAGAGCCCCCGAGGGTTAATACTACTCTCTTCCGAGTACAAACGCGGGAACTTTGGTCGAAGAACGGGAAATATTTTGATTGCTGCTGTGTAAACGAGAGGACTTCACACGTGGACACTAACCCTTCCCGCCGACAAAGACAGACTACATAGGGACAATGTTTTCCCATGTTTTGCAGGTAGACGACAGGTATATCTCGATAAAGAATCGTAGACAGAGAACGACGCGGATCGGCCGAGCGAAGAAAATCTTGAACGAAAAATACAAGCTCCATATAAATGGATTTTTTCGATATATAAAAATACACACATATATACATATATATATATATTTGCGAATAGTTAAAATTTTTATATACATATTTGCCACCAGACATGAAATGTTTAACTATAGCTTATGTAAATAAATGAGATTCGAATCCAGTCGTATACGAGAACCTTTCGATTTTTAGTTTATAAATATTACATGCGCAAATTTAATAAAATGTGAATTTATATTCGCGCAAAAGCGAATAATTTTTTAATTTATATTATCTGTAAAGCTTTTAATATTTAATTAATGAACGCATAAGTAAGCAAAATATGAATTCATGTGTGTGATCGGCCTATTAATTTTTCATTTATATATTTTCCAGTAAATAGAAATGGTGCTTACATTTGCAATGGATATTTTAATTTTTAAATACGTTAGAAATTTATAAATACCGTTATATTTATATGCAATGTGCGGATCAAATTTTAATATACACGCGAATGTATAAATAAATAAAGATTGGTAGATAATTATGAGAAAAGCTTAATTTTTTTTCATCTCCACGCGTAAACGAGCGCGATATTCTTTTATACATGTTTATGATTAATTAACTTTTCTCGTAAATATGCGTCGTATAATTCTGCAAATTTTGTCGATAAATCTACGCGAATGGGAGAGAGAGACCTTAAACGAGAAATCATAGCATCTCTCTCGAATTCGGTCTCCGTTTTAAAAATACTCCGCGCGTCTACGCGATCGGACTCTACGCGAATTGGATCATCGGGTCGGAGCGAGAGTCCCGCGCTTCGCGGCAACGCCGGTCCATCTCGAACGCGAGAGGATAAAAAGCAAGAGGCGAGATTATCGGAGCGTCACACTCACCGCTATCGCCGGCATGCGTAGGCCGCGTAGGTTGAATCGATCAGCCGCTAGATCCTGGCGCGCGAGAGAAACGGCACTATTTTTTATTTTCCCTTTTATCTTTCACTAGACGACGACAACGACGGCGACGGGCTCCCCCTCCTCCTCCTCCTCCTCCTCCTCTCACGCACGGTGTACACACGGGTCCTCACGGCGCGCCGCGCAGCGACGCAGCGACGCGCGACGGCATCGCGAGCAGGTGTCCACGGGCCGTTCGCGAGGATCCTTCGTCCTGTCCTCTCCTCCTCCGCGGGCTATCGATCTCGGGAACGCACGCACTCCGCCGTGCCGCGCTATGCCTCTCTCGTGCTCTCGTCGACCACCGCGAACGCGCCCGCAAATTGTTTCGCTCCTCGCTTCTCTCTTCGAGTGGACCGAACTCTCGATCAATGAGACGGCGCGAGTTTGTACGCACCTCTCGCTCGGCGCCGATCCATTCAAAGATCACGGGGTCACGGATCCGCGCGGCTCGATCGATGACGCTCGACGCATATCTCGATTATACCCGAGAGAATCTCTCGTTTCTTCGATCGAGATCGCGAAACACGAGGCGATGGATCGATGAGATTTCCGCGCGGCGCGAGCCTGTTGATCTACTGCGCTCTCAGGTTCCGGGTGCGCTCGAATCTCGGTCCTTTCCGAGTCGATGTCGAATCGACGGCGATCCTGGTGGAGTCGCTCCTCGATCGCAAACACATTTCAACCCTCGTCCCGCGTCTCGGCGGAATCCACGATCGATTCGAGTGCGTCTTCCCCGGGGAGGATGATCCAAGCTCACTGAAACGCGGCGTACAGTCGCACGTGAAACGTTAACACTCGGGCCAGCGCAACGTGCTCGCTTCGGGAAAGGCGAGAAAAGGGAGGCTCAGCGGGGCTCCGCATGCCTCTCGACGCGACAGGCGACACACACGCGTAAACGTCCGCGAACCACACTGCCGCCGACCAGACTGACCTCGGCTTCGAACTCTCTCTCTCTCTTTCTCTCTCTTTCTCGCGCGCGCGCGCGCGCGCGGACCTTGGGTCTCGCGGTCGCTCGAGTCAAGGCGAAACCCACGTCGACGCGGCTAGAGCGGCTAGAACGGCGAGCATGTCGCGGAGAGCACACCGCGCGACACGCACAAAACGGAGCGACGACGGACCGATTCGCGCTGCACGACGTCGGACGAACGAGTGGCGGCCGGAGGAGCCGCCGCGTCGTCGGCTTCCCCCCACTATGCGGCGCGTATCAAAGTAGCGTGGGGGAGCGGGGAGAACGGGAAAGAGCGCGGGAGCGCGCGGGGCGCGCGGCGAGGGTGAGAACGAGGATCGGGGCGCGGGAGGGATGGTGCGCGGTCTTCGGAACCGCAGCGACGGAGGGAGCAGCGGATAGATGGACGTCAGGGGCGTGAGTGAAGGAGGGGCATCGATACCGGTCCCTCCGCGCCGCGGGGCCCCTTTCCCCCCCGGGCCACAAGAGGTGCCCCTCCGCGTCGCGGCGCGCGCTCCACGCGACTTTGCGAGTGAAACATTTCGCGGGTTTTGTGGACGAGCGAGAGGGACGGGCGGAGGAGGGCGAGGGATGCGCGGAGGCTGCGAGGGCCGCGGGGAGAGGAAGGGAGAGAGAGAGAGAGAGGAGAGGGTGGGGTGGGAAGACAACAGTATTCCCGTTAATTGAACGACTCGCGCGGGGCGGAGGAGCGCGTCGCGGGGAAGTAGAGGGGAGGATTACTTGCAGTAATTACTTATTTTTATTACGCTCCGCCTCGTCGTGTCTCGCACCAGCGAGCGGCCGCGCTCTCGCAGCGACATGTTAGAAATCTTTTCTCGCGGTATCGCGAGACAATGGGTTACGTACCGGAAACTCGCCTCGAATCCCCCAAACTAAGCGTCTTAGCGTTAAATTACGTGCGAGAGAGAAAGGTAGAGAAATAAGATGAGGGGCGGTGGAATAAAATTAGAAACAATGCTGTTGCTGCAAATTTTGTTTGACTTCTCCTATAGCGACACGATAACGCAATTTCGAACAGTTTCCTCGCAAGCAACACGATTCGGGACGTAAAGTCGATCGTTTTCGACGATGCTTCGACTGTGAAGAAAAAAAAACATGCTCGATACTGCAACGTCGATTCTTTTTCCGCTGAAAAAAAATCAATCTTTATTTTCCTCGAGTCAAACGCCATACGTGCCATGGTGTTCTCTAATCGGGCCAACTGGATACTCGAGATGATCCGACGGTGAACGAACCAGTAAAGAACCGAATAACACGTTTCGGATCGACGGCAAGTCGGTATGCGATCGGCTTCAGTTTTTTCGAGCGATTACGAGTAGTAACGCGTTGAAGCGTTTTTCTTTTTTCGATGTGCTTTTCTACCGGACCGGCTTATAAAGTCAATTTACATACTTTAACATACGCGATGTGCGTTTCAAGCGTTAACTTTGTCTTATTTTCTCCCAATCAGTTTTCCATTTAACCATGGTGGATCTTGAAGAGGTGTTGAAAAGTTTGATAAACATTACAGCGTAGCAACGTCGTTATCGATACAATCTTGGAATTCTTGGAACGGACACTGTTTTTGTCTCGATGCAAATAGATATGTTAATCCGTCGAATACACGTAACGTATGCGGCTCGACTATCGCAACAACTATTAATTCAGACGTAAATTCAACACGACGCATTTACATATAAAATATATCGCGCGGATCTAGAATTAAAATCCAAAAGAGGAAATGGGTAAATATCCGTCTCGCTTCCTTCCTCTGCGAGCTTCAGCCGAACGGTCCTCTGTAACGTTCACGGTTGCCGGACCAGAGAGTGCACTTGTCAAAACTTTTATCTCGGCTCGCATCTAGCAGCGAGAGAAAAACACGGAACGGAGGTGAGGACAATGCCTGGTTCCGCGAAAGGTCCTGCGGGAGGAGGAGGGTGAGCGGAGAGGAAAAAAATAAGCCGACAGAGGTTTCGGATAATTGCGGCGGATAGTTCGGAAAAGGCGCCGACCGGCCTTCCCGGCACGCCTGTCGGAAGACATTAGGATTTCTATCGCAGATCCTGCCCGTCCGCAGGACTCGTTAACGAATCTTGGCGATTGTTCCTTCGTAATCCAATAAGGATGAGATTCCACGCGACTACTATTTTTCTAGTCCCATCACCGATCGAGACTAACGACGACGGATAGAGTATCGCGGCTTCGACTTTCGATGCAATCGACTCTTCCTCAGTCAACTATCGGATTAAATTACTTCAATTTTTTTATGCCCCGAAATTCCCTGTAAAAGTAATACATTCGAAGGAATTTGTTCGTCGAATCTCATATCTCGAGAAACAAGGTAGATAACGTATTCGCGAGTCACGTGATGCCCGCAGGTATATGTCTTGCGGTCACGTGGTGGTGACCTTAGCTCGTTTCTGCTCTAGGGTGGTCGGCCCTTTGGACAGGTCAGTTCGGGATTCGGAAGCTGCATTGGGGCGGGGCGGACGTCAGATGGAAAGCAGTTCTAATTTGATACCAAGTCGAGAGAGGCCAAACAAACATTCGAGATATAAACTTGCTTCCAGCCGGCATATCGGTGAGAGTTTGATGAAAATTATTACACCGACTAATAATAGCGCGTAATAATTGTTAATTATGTAATATCGTTAAAGCCTCGATTTGAATTTGTTTTCGCGTAAATTACAAGTTAGAGAGATAAGTTGAGAGAAAATCTAATATCGCATAAATTTCTAAAAGTTTTAAGCCCTACCTAACCTAACCCTAGGAAGAAATTAAATTTAAACCAACGATAAATGTAAATATAACGAATATAATGTATCGATACGCTCGCCATCCCACATTATCGCGTACTCTTGCGGGCAAAGAGATTTCGAAGCTTCTCAGAGGCCTCGTCGATTCTCGCGGATGATTCTTGCTCGACCTTTTTTCCGCAAACTTCCGAAGGTCATTACGAGGTTCCCGAGAACGCTCGGGACTCGTAAAGCCCTGTCGTAAAAATCGCCAAAATACACGCACCTTACATGGTAGCCTCGTGTAGGCGGGTGTCATATCCCCGCAAAATCATTGCCACTAAAAAAAAAAATCAGAGGTTTCCGCGGTAAATTTATAACGGTCGTCTTCCGATGGCATCGTATACGTGCCTGTCAAAGGTGTTGAATATTTCTCGCTGCAAAAGCGACAACTCGCTTATTAACATGAGCAAAACATGAGAATATCACGATAGGTCTCGGTCGATAGAGAAAATATACCTCTAGTCCAAACTCGAAAGTTTCTCAACAGTTTATTAGAGATTTTTAAATAATTCTTACTCCCTCGTTACTTCTTTCCCGATTTAATTACGATTACTATCGATCGAATAATTTAGCAACGGCATTTTAAATTTAATCGACTTCGTCCCGCGGGAGACGTTGATACATTCATGGGCATTTATTTTTACGGTGTCTCGCTTACGGACACCGCTGAATTTTTGGCAAGTTTCTTCGAGTTGTACAGTGCGTATCGATTTTGGCAATAAATTCGTCGCTTTCGGAAAATGCGAGCGACAACAAAGGGCGCGAGCGTATGCGCGAAGCTCAAGAATCGGTCGTGACTTTTTGCCGAGCAAATATGTTTTTGCGGTAAATTTGACCGAGTAAATGCGACGTCGCGGGGCACTCTTAGCTTTATTAACCTCTCCTTATCCTTCCGCCCTCCCCCCCCCTCTTTTCCTACGTTGCCCTAACATTCCGCATTCCCCTCGACTCGACGCATGATCCCGATCCGTATATAATGTGCATGCGCGGAGATTTGCGAGGCATTATGCGCGCCCGCCTCCTCGAAATGCAGCTCGCATATGCGAGCGCTCGAGTGCGCTTCGAGTGTTCGCGTAAGCTACGTAGGAAAAATATGTTCGACGGGGCGCACTTGTGCAAGGGTGGGTAATTGGCTCTCTTGATCGCAGGACCGCTTTTCAATGTCCTCCCCCTGCCCCCCTCCTCCTCCCCCTCCCCCCTCCGCCCCTTCCTTCTCTATCCCGCCCTTCCGCGCCCTTCGTCGATCTTCCTTGACCGTCCGCGCTCTGCTCTCCACCGCCATTTTTGGTTCGTGCCCGGTCCTCGTTGGTGATACAATATATTGACGGATCGCTTCCAATTTCGATAGCCATTCGTACAAAACGTGGCGCATTGTTTTCAATTATTTTCCCATTTTCCCTAACATTTTTATTTTTCCTCTTCAATTTAAAATTATGTATATTGCGTTACATTAATTAACAGAGGTTAACGGGACAATTTAATAAATGTTACAAAAGCAAGCAATTCAATAAAACGCGCCGGTATTTTAATTTACGCCCGATCAATTATCGATGTGATTTATTTCGTAACGCGAAACGCGGCGGCGCGGCGATGCGACCGTGCGCTTGTGTATGCTCCTCGTTGAAAAAAAAAAAAAAAACTCTCAATCTCGCGACTCGCGACTAAAAATGTGTTGCGCGTAATACGTACACGTACGAGACGGTGCCCGCCTACCCTGTCGCGGCGAGAGAACATTGCGCGAGCGAATAACGCGCGGCGATAATAGAAAAATACCGCCGACGCGGTCGCGTTCGGCTTCGACATTAGGTCCGCGATGGCGATAATGATAATAAAGAGGCGGCCAACTCGGAAGACAGGTACAACCCCTCGCGAGGATAGCGGCACCAAGGGTGACACGAGGCGGGGAACGAGAAAACGTGTCGAGCCATTTCGCGCCGAGGGATGACACCCGAACACGCGGGAAACAATGCCGTGACACGATGTAGGTAATACAATGCGGTGAATGGTCGTGCGTATCATTATTCTCGCGCTATTGTTGGCTGCCGGATAAACGACATTTTTTTTTGTTTTAGGATATCCTGCAACGGAACACGGTAGACATAACAACCGTAGTAACAATACCGATAAAAGAATAATTATAATAATTCTCCATCTTCCCTTTTTTTCGATTCAATCTTATATATATTCCTCCCTCTCGTTTCTGAAATCTAAATCTGTCGGGATATGCGGAAGGTTTTTTTTCCCCCTTTACGAATACTCACTGTAGCGTGTCGTATACCTGCTATAATGTCGGATGAAAGAAATCGTTTTAGGTGCGTCATCCTTCGCTATAATGGTGATATAATTCGAACATCCGCGGGATCGCATTATGGCCGAGGGACAGGAGAAAAGAGTTTC